TCAGTGTACTTTGACAGACAGGAGGAGAGTTGTTGCTCGTAAGACTGAAGGGCCAAGGAAGGGAGGAGAAGGGAGGGGGAAGGGGAAGGAGCAGGAGCAGGAACTCATGAGGCCCAGGCTGTAATCAGAAAATAGAAAGAGTTAGAGATTTTTTTGGGGGAGGGAGAGGAGTGGAGAGAGGGATGATGCTGCAATGAACCAGGTGATATCAGAATGAAGTTTTATGGTGAACACATGTGAAGAGGAAAATATTTGCTATTGCTTTGTGTAGATGGAGAGGTGAAAACATATCCCCTTAAACATGGCAGGAGTGTGATGGTGGGGAAAGGGTCATCTGGGTCAATACCACCCAAAGAGGAGAGGGAGTTACTATGAATAAAACAGACATGGTACTAATCAGAGTGTCAGAGAAGCTGGGCGTCCCAAAGACAGGTTCTCAGAGGGAAGCCCTGGGCTTGATATGGTCCTTTCTGAATCCCCTGTTATTGGCCCAAGGATTTTCTTCAGCAGTCAAAGGGTTATCTGAATACTCTTGAGGGAGGGGAGAAGGGGAGGAGAAAAAGCACTTGTCTGCTGAATCAGTGTTTCCAGGAAAAATAATGTCCTATGCTTCATTTAGGGTACTTATCATAGACTGCTCAAGCTGAACCAGTTTTCCCTCTCCCTAGAAGGAACAAAATAACAGAGCCTGCCCAAGAGCCATGCCTCCATCCCCACCTTCCTCAGGCCCAGGACTTGGGTACTTAACCCTAGGTACAGACTTGGGAAGGGGCAAGGAAAAGAATGTTTGGTTTTCTAGTGTTTTGGCAAATGCTCACCTTTGCTCAAGAAGGCTCTAAATAATAGTGAGGGTGGCACACAGACTGTGGTGGGGTTTTCCATAATGGGGAGAATACCTCAAGCTTGTCCAGTGTGAGGAAAACAATCAACCACTGGGATACCTGGGTTTTAACTGTGGGTTCTCGGAGACACCCTTTACCTTGCCTAACAAGTGGCAGTGGGACTTGGCAGGTCTGGGGAATGGGCTCAGAGGAAGGACATTGAGAGGTGGAAGAAGGATGTCCCCTGACCCAGGATAATGACATACTCCCTTCACTGGGAGAAATATTTTATGCCTCTTCTCAAAAGCACCACTCTTACTCTCTTTCACTTCCTTCTCCTTGAGCCTCACATACCCATACAGGGCACTGCTCTTGAGAGCTGGCCAAAGATGCACAGATGTTTTATGCAAAATCTTATGCTATGCCCTTCTCTACCAGCATTCCCCCCCCAAAGTTAGGCAAATGATTAATTTTCACATCTCAGTACACAATGAGCAGGGAAAAGGTTAAACACAGCCCAAAGAAAATATTTTGACAAAATAAATATTTTAACCTATAATCAGGTATAATTAGTACTTACAAGGAATTCCAACAATAATTTAGTGTAATTAAGTACATACTATATCTGTGATTTCTAACATTTTCAGAAATACTTCCTACTTTAGTGATTTTTTTCCCCCCTCCTTTGCAATTCAGTTCCATCCTCAGGACTGCTTGCTTTGCTGACCCACATCTGTGAGCCACAATGCCTGTGCTCTGAGAAGGGGGACTTGTCACAGCCAAGGCAACAGCCCATCACCAAGAGACAGGTGGTGGTACTTCTATGGCTTCTGACTTGACACTGAAGAAAAAGAGTTTCTTAGTTCCTTTGAGTAATTCCTGGCTAATATGTCATGAGCCAGAGCCCAAATGAGATCCTGATACAGGACATACTCTCTCAGTATGATTAGCATACATAAAAATCATGGGCAAACGATAAACTGGGGCATTTCTGACTGCAGAGCCACCAAAGATGCAACTGATCCTGGACCCCTGCCACTGCAGAACTGGAAAGGGGAATTTTAGTGGGAAGGTGTGACTCATAGTTGTCTGCTGCACTGCTCAGTGGGCTGACCTGGACCCAGGGCTTTGAATAGCCCTGCTGTTGAATTCTTCTTTGGGTAAATGGCCACCTTTCCTCAGTAGGGCCTTACTCTTTTTCACTGAGAGCAAAGACCATGAAACCCTTCTGTACCATCCATCATCAACTGAAGCATCTCCAAGCTGCTACTTCTACCTTGCTGAGATAGGTAAACATAAGAATTTGAGGTAATGAGTACAGATAATGGTTCTGAAGCAAATATATATATATATATATATATATATATATATATATTATATATATATATATATATATATATATATATATTATATAATATAATATATATATATATATATATATATATATATATTTGTAGTGCAGGCTGCTGGGAGCAACTTCTCTCTGTGAGAGATAGAAGGAGCTAGATCATTCTCTCCTATTCTAAACATAGACCAAAAAAAGAAAAACCCGAATCTATAATATGTCAGGACTCTCTTTTATAAAGTGGGAGAAGGAAAAAGACTGGAATGGAGCATGGCTCCATGGCCAGTTAGTGGCTAGAGAAGGTAAGAAGGTTATGTGACTAGTACCTCGCCACCTCACCCCCCCACCCCCACCCAGCATCATCCTTTCCAAACACCACAGTGTAGCTAAGGTGGTACCACTAACAGATGCTTCTGACAAGTGGATTCAGGCACTTAGAGCTGCATGGTTTCCTCAGGGTCTGACTAACTTCCTTTAGACACCTATAGAAAGACATGGGATCCCCAGGTGGCCTGAAGATGCTGGTGGCTCAAGTCTGCAACTGAAGAGGTTTCAAACAAGGAGAGGACCATTCATGCTCCAGTTTGTGGAAAAGCTTAACTTTGTTCTGGATGGGTCCACACACTTACAGTTGTGCCAGAGATACCTTCCGTCAGGCACAAGGAAAATTACTTCATGCCAGAAGCTAGATTTCAAAAAGATACCGTCACCTGCCTGCCAGGATGGATTCCTTGAAAGGAACTATAAGAACTCACAGGCTGGGAAAATTACAGACCTGTCACACAGGGGGAAAGTAGAGGAATAATATGATTGGAAAGAAAAGATATTAAGGCATCTTGCCCAGTGATGTTTGCAAGTTTGGCAAAGATAAGCCAGTTCTGGTCCCTATAAGAGGGTAGCTATTGTAGCTCAATTTCAGAGCTCGAGTCAATGTAAGAGAAGAGGATGAGAAGCAAAGAAACAGTGACTGAGGCCCTTTAGCATAAACCTGATCTGTCTTTAGCGCTCTTCCCTGCTGCAGGGCCCTGGGCCCCTCCCCCCTCAAGGCTTTAAATGACACGAGGACACCGGATGTAAGGACGCTGCAGGACACTGGCTGGAAAAGCCAAATGAAAGGAAAAATGAGAGAAAAAGGAAAGAAGGCAAGAATGTGGGAGGAAGTGAGAACAGATAGAGGGAAACATGAGAAGGCAGGAAGGTCTAAAATAGGGAGGAAGCCATGAAAATAGGAGTGACAGATGATAGAGAGGATCTTAGGAGGAGGAACAAAAAAGAATAGCCCAAGGAAAAGATAGCAGCTTAGAGCAGTCTAGATAAGCTTCACAAGGAAGATGTTTGGGTGTCATCACAGTTGGTCTGGTTTTCATTAACTGAAGCTGAACTAGTTCTGACAGCTAGTCAGCAAGCCCAAACCTCTGGATTCCTAGGCTCAATGCTGAGGCACACTCATTGACTCTCAGAAGCCTGAAGGGACAATACTTATTCAGGTCACAGATATCTGCGGTCCAACTAGAGTCTCTGGTTTTTCACCATGAGAAACAGCCAGGACTAAATCTGGCTTCTGGCTCAGCCACAAGAATGATATTTAGCCTCACCCAGAACCTGAGCTGCCAGATCATGTCTCTGCAAAATCCAGTCCCTGATTCCAATACATCCTTTCTTTCCTGAAGGAAGAAAATTAATCAGCTCTGCTCTCTGCCAGCCAACAGTTATGGCTGTAAGCCCATGTTCCCTAGTTGAAACTCCTTTGACGTTGTTCATGCCATTGCCCCGGGCCACAGAGAGGCCTAGGCGGGCCCGCCTGTGACATGCACAACAATGCAAGCTGAATTTAACCTGCAGACATCAGGCGGCACTGCGGGCCAAGATGAACATCTGCCCCCAGATGTTCACAAGGAACTCTGCAGACCTCAGGAATCTCCATTACAGGGAGCAGCATTTGACCCAACAGGTCTAAATGAAGCAAACTCAGACTAACTCGTGTCAAGTAGTTGTATACCAGCTGGTGAAAGTCAGTTCTCTGAGAACTGGCAAGGGGTAAGCTACTGAGAGCCAAAGTAGGCAATGCCTGGAAGAAAGAAATCAAAGTTCAGCTCTCTTTGCTGCAGCAGCATTTTCCCTTCCAGTTATGGTGCAGGAGCAAGGTTAACATCTATCTGGAAGCTCTGGACAGGCAGGCAGGGGAAGAAGGCAGGGCCTAAATAAGAACCCCTCAAATAGCCAGTTTCCAATAAGCCCTGGCAAAGCAACTGCCCCTTGCCTTGGACAGCTGGACACCCTCCCCTAGGCAGCCCATTAGTCAGCTTGGCAGATCATCCTGCACACCTAGAGCCTTTTACAGGAAGTCAGAGTGTGGAAGGCTTGGACCACAGACACTGAGAACACTCCCTCTCATGATGGGGCTGGGGTGTGGAAGGCTGACTTCAAGTCTGTCCAATGGAGGAGACCCAACCTCATGACTGTAGTGTTAGGGCAGGGCCCAAAGTAGTGCAGAGATGCCTTAGTGTTACAGTAGTACAGAAGTGAAGTGGTCCAGAGCCCACACAAGCCAGCAGAGTAGGGCTTAGACGGCGATTCCTTCGGATGGGGAGGCTTGTAGGCAGCAGAGGTATAAAGCCCACCGTGTAACTATTCCAGAGTCACACAGGCAATACAGTAACAAACATCAAATACTTTCTCCAATGGTCAGGTAGCAACTGTTCCTAGTGCAAAATCCTTTTAAAGCATGAGAGCTAAGGAGGTGGAAGGACCAAAGAGTGACGTCCTCAACTTCTCCTGCCTGTGACGTTAACATCAGTGTTAGTCTACATGAGAGAGTCAAACTGCTGCGTGACCAATGTCTGGATGATTTAATACCAATTTTCATTGATGTGTTCAACTCCTGGTCTCCTTCCTTTCCTTTAACTTCCCTTTCATTAACTAGATTTACTGGAAGCCACGTAGAAACTGCATTCCACCAGAGGGTGTACCCTCTGCAATGCCTAATATCTTCAGCATGGCAATGCCACCCTTTGCCAAAGATTTCGAGCCCTGTCTAGCTAAGTGGGTAGAGCTGAATCCACTAATTGGCATGAGCTTACAGCAAAGGGCCTTCTATGTGAATACCTGGAAAGAGAAGCCCAAAAGGACCTACGACACAACAGATTGACAGGAAAGATTTGCTGGAACATTGAGAAATAATGCAAAACTTTTTAAAGTGCTAGAAGCCCCAACTACCCCAAGGTTTGTTTTTTTAACAGAATCAAGTTAATGTGTGTTGATGAGCAGCAAAGGAGGGAAGTCATCAGACCACCATCTAGTCTCCTGAAGCCAACCTGGGAAAACTCATAGTGAAAGGAAGAGACCAAAGAATGGAAAACCTCATGAGGCTTGACATACCGTCTGAACTCGCCAGCTAATTCCATTCCAGAACCCAGGGGACAGAGAAGTAAAAGAGGTGGAAGGCAGAATTCTAGAGCAGGAGTGATATGACTTGGACCTATAATTGGGAACATCAAGAATGAGATGCTCCTCTACTTGAATCCATCCTGGGCCCAAGGATCCTCCATTGTGTCCTGCTAAATATTTGGCTACAAGGCAAGGGACACAGGAAACCACCATGATAAGTCATCTCAAGGCTGGGCAGCTCTTCCTGCCATACCTGGTTTCCAATACGAGGAAAGTGAGCTCATGCATTTACATTTTTCAGGGGGACCAGGTGGGAAAGGTGGGTGGGAGCAGGGGGAGGGAGAGGTGGGTTTCAGTAGCAGCAGCCAATTTCACACAGCCCAGAAAGGAAAAGGTGGTTAAAGCTGGTATTGAAGGGTGGGAGACTTAGAGGAAATAAAATAGGGCTTTAAAGGAGAGACAGGTGAAGTTTCCTTTTTAGTAAGTGAGAGTGGTATGACTGACTGGGGAGTGAATAAGGGTGAAGATACAGAAGGAGTGATGAGGGGGTCAGTGTTTGTCACAATGGAAGAGAGTATGGTGTGACCAGACAGTAGCGTTCTTCTGCACAGCACAAGGAAGGAGACCAAGAAAATGCATCACAGGGCGAAGAGGGCATCTTCGGAGCGCTCTGGCTTTTTTCTTCCAGATGTATTTATGGGTAATGTTGGTGCTTCCACAGGGGGAGATGGTAGATTGGGGACCATTTCAGCAGCTTTGGCTCTTTCTTCAAGAAATTTGTCAAATTCTGCAACACAAAGCCATTTTGAGAGCTAGGATTACCAAGGAAGCCCAGGATAAATGAATAAACATAAACTTAACTTCAACTGGTTTCCACAGCATTGTCTATTTTTGAAGGCCACAAAACCACCATAGAGGTGGTATGGCACAGGACATAGAATACTGGGTTTGGGAGTCAAGACTGAGTCCAAATCCTACTTCAGATGCTTAATAATTAAATGACCCCAGGCAAATCAATTCACCTGTCTCTATCTTAGTTTTCTTCTTCTGTAAAGGGACCTCTAACATTCTTTCCAGTTCTAGTCTACAGTCTTGTGAACTGACTTGTGACTGAAGAACCAGAGAAAGAACATTTTTTTTAGAAAATTCATTTTCAGTTTTTCATACTGGCTTGATCTTAACTCTGCAAATTTATTTCCCATGACTCCTACAGCATAGGCCCCTATACCCTAGTCCATGTCTGCCCTCCCTCCCCACCACATACACATAAACCCTTCTTAGAGTTCTGACCACACTATCCCTGAAACTCATCCATCCAAGGTTCTAATCTCTTCTCTGCACTTATTCTTATCCCCACTCATCCTTCATTCAGCAACACCTATTTTATGAAGCCTTCTTTCCTGACTAGCTCACACTAATCTTTTTTTGAACCCCTTCAGAATTTAGCTTACCACAAATTAGCACTTCTCTCAATATGTATGTGTATACACCCACATATGTATACTTCATACATATATTCCCTCTCAGTACTGTACAATTTAGAATTTCATTATACAATAACTTGAGCAATTATTTCACATGCATTAATCTTATGTTCTTAATACATCAGCAGACTCCTTGTGCAAAGGAGTTGTAAAAATTTTAAATATATGAATTACAAATTTATTTTTAAATATACACATATGCAAAATATATATTTTTTGTATTCCTCCCATAGAGCCTAATATTGTGCTAGAAACAAAGTAGTTGCTTAATGGATGTAAGTTGCTTGACTGCTCCTCTTTTGGTGGGTGGTATAACCCAAGAAGGATCTGGCCTAAGACCCGGGGACATTTTGGAAGAATGAGGTGAATTACAAACGACCATAAAGCATTGAATGAAATCCCCTGCACAAATTAAGAAACTATTGGAGGTTACTTGGCTGCATCTACTGGGAGATGGGACACAATGACAGTAACACTGAACACCAGGCCCCTTCTGAGAGACTGTGATAAGAGAAAGGAGAGAAGGACAGTTTATAAGATGAGAGGTTATGCCTGAAGGGAGAAAAGGGAGAAAAAACAGAGAATGTACTAAAGTGTTGGGGGCACTGAAGCCCAGTGTTAGTGACAGAGAGAAGGAAATGGCATTGCAGAGAGGGATTACACAGTGAAGGAGTGGTGAAACCCAGATGAAAACCCAGCTCTCCTGCCTCTTAGTGCACGGCTTCTTCTATTACATATCAAGCTCGGAAGGGCTTCACTGGGTTTGAGGGTATAATGGCTAAGGGGGGGGCAGGGTAAGAGGGACAGACGGACCTCTGTTAATGATGAACTGAACTCTTTTGCTGAAGTCTTTCTTGTATACATCACTACACAAAAATAGAAAAAAATGAAAACTTCTGTTCAGAGAGTTGAGAAAAAGCTGGGACTGAGAAAATAAGAATCATAGAAAACTACTTCCCAGCAAATCAGCTATAAAAAAAAAATTTCCCTTTTGGTGTGTTGTTTGATTTGGGGGGGAGGGAGGAAGGGCATAGACAGGGTAGGATTTATACACTGGACTACATACAGTTAGAGTACAAAGACAATCCAACTTGACGGAACTTGTTCCTTAATACTCTCTCTAGGTGTGGTATACCTAAAGCCACAAAATGGACAGGGCTCATAAAATGTGCCCTGCTATGCCTCAAACATGTAGCTGTAACCGGAGCCTTTGGTTCAGTTACTGGGCCACTATGATATTAAATTCAAAGGGGGGGGGGAAGGGTTGTTAAGCTTTTGGGAATTTTTTTTTTTTGCTTTTAAACAGCTCAATTTACAGACTTCCCACTAGGTAAGGTAAAGAAAAGATTAAACACTAAAGAATCTATGCAGCTTTCTATGTCTCCTAAAAGGTGATACTTGATGTGGTCCAGTAGCAGCTGCATCAGACCTGAGTCAGGTTCAGTCCCAGGTCTGATATCACCAGCAGTTTGACAGTGGGCAAATCACTTCCCCCTCTGGACTTCGGTGAACAAAAGGCTGGACTACTACTAGAGGGTTTCCAAGGCTCCTTCACTCTCCAATATTCTCATGCTCTCCCTAGACTGGCATGGGAGCTCCAAGTGTTGGCTATGACTTCACATACAGTTTTCAAAGATCTGCTATCAAAGATCTCATTCCACTTGGTTTGGGAAGAGTAGACAAGGGTAAAAATCTCATGTTACCAGAACTCCCTCTCACCTCTATGGCAAAGTGAAGCTGGTCTCAATAGAAAATTTAGTTTCTTTTTCAGAAAAACAGTTAATTGGGAGCTTTTCCAATCTTCCATTGTAGGTTTTTTCTTGAGGGTGGGAGGGGGAAGAGAAGACAATACTTTTAAGCACCTAATTTAACTTTAAACTAAAGACAGCAATCTAACTTCCCAGAAAAGATGTCAGGGAAGGAATAAACAGCAAGAAGTAGTGGAAGGGGATCAAAATCAGCACAGTGAATAAAGTACTCGATTTCTAAACGGTTTTAATTAAAAATAATGTTCCCTATTCCTATTATTTCTGTAAGTACTCAGCCTCCAAGGTTTCCCTTGAATGTTCTCCCCGGAGAATTGATGTAAATCAGTCACAACACGTCAGTGCCCTTCTCCTACCTGGCTTTGAAGAGAACACTTCCAGTGCCACAGTGGCTCTGACTCTGGTTGGTTCTAGGCAAGACTAGTTGGTGGCAGGAGAAGGAACTGGCGGGCTCACACTCTGTCTTGTCCTAGTATCACCTTTCATACATGTCTCCCCATTTAGACTGTGAACTCCTTGAGAACAGGAACCATGTCTTATTCTTTTCTTATAGTCCCCATAATGCCTCCAACGGACCTGAGTCAATGCTCACTAAGTATGTTGATAAAAAGAATCTTTGGCTGCAAAGGTCACTTTGTGCACTGCATGCTTACCTTCACTTGTGACTCCTTCCTCCGGCTCGTCACCTTTCTGTGATGGGAACAAAGACAAGGTAGCATTAGTGTCCCCAGCTGTGTCTTGGCCCTTCATTTTCCACTTTATCCTTTCTACTGACCTCCTTGGTCCATGGAAGCACAGCATGGCTGGTATATTTACAACCAGAACAGTTTTAGGGGCTTGACATTCTCAAGAGAGGTAGGCAGCTCTCTTTTTTTGCTATAAAAACAAGTACCATCCTGCCCGAAGTCAGGGGATGAATCACACGACCTCCCCATTAGGGTTCTGTGATGTTTCTCTCAGGTCATAAGGCAGCAGAACCAATAAACATATGCTACCGATGATGGATACTGAATGTTCTAACTGTACTTAATTCCCATTCCTTCTTCAGGTGTCTGTTTCTAAAGAAAAGAAGAGCTACCAGAGAGGAAGAAACATATCCTTCCTGAAGGCTGTGTTTCCCAGCCTTTTTGAAATTGTTGAAATACTACTGCTGTTAGCTGCATCACACCATGCTACTATCCTTCCCAATACTTACTATATTTTTAATTAGAAGTTTTAATTAAAGTCAATTAGAATTACTTCATTTTGAGAATTTCATTACACTCACAGATATAATTGGACTCACCCTGGAGTGTTATAAAACCAGTTTAGAGGCAATTAATAAACTCCCATGGACCTTATTCTCATACCATATATCTTCCTTGCCATAGAAAACTATAATGTGAAGGGTTTTGGGAAAGGTAAATGGAAAGCAAAAAGCACCCCAGATTAGTAAGGAAGCTACATTTTTTTGCTTTCATGAAAAAGAAATGATGGACTGTATTAGATTTTAAATATGCTCTACTTGACAACGAATTGCTTTGGAAAGCCTCATTCTCTCTGAAGATGGCACAGGCAGCAGAGCTTGAGATGAGTAGGAGAGGTCTTGGTCCTGGTCCTGGTTCTGGCTCTGTCATAGATTCACCTGACACTAGTGGAAGGAAGTTCAAGGTGGCTAAATAGTTGTGCCTTCTGACATCTGGCCCATGGACAGCTGATGCACATAATGCTATGGCAGAACTGTTTGTCTGAGGACAGTCCAGATATTGTAATAATTCTCCATGAAACAAGAACACCATCAGGTCTTTTTCATTATCTCACCTATGATGTAATTTCTAATAGTAGAGAGGGTGATTTTTTTTGCTACATTCTTAATAACTATCGCTTTTATCATGATAGGAACACTGCTCATGGAGGAAACTTTTATTACAAATCAGAGACACATGGGGGAAAAAGTCTGATGGAGGCTTAAAAAAACCCCTGAGGTTGACAAATAAACAGGAGGAGGAAGAGGGGAAAATGAGTTTTAAATCATACATGAGACTTGGAATATGCTACAGACTGATTAGAACTTCAGGTGTAAGCACCCTGCTAAGCTGGAAGGGCCAGACACACCAGGTGGACTACCTGCTATGGAAGGCAAACTTTTTACTGGTTTCATTAGTACATAAAATGCATAATTCTGTTCTCAGAGAAAGGAGGTTATGAAAAAAAAATATAAAAGTCAAAATCTCACCAGGTCCGTACTGAGCCACACCTCAATGTCATCCATGACAGAGGACTGCGCAACAGGGATCTATGGAATGCAGCAAAGAGGGCCACCGAGCCAGGCAAAACCCACAAACAGCCAGGGCAAAAAGAAAACAAAATACCGGGTACAAAATTAAATAATCAAAAACCACCCACCTCCCCAACCAAACTCAAAATACACTGAGCAAAACATGACCAACATGGCACACAAATTTAAACGTAAGAATGTGCTGAAAAGGCAACCAAATATGTAAGAGCAACATGTGAGGTAAATCATAAATAGGCAGGGTAAACCAAACAGGGACTGGTGGGAGAGAAATCATAAAAAGTGGAGCAAACCAAATGGGACACTAAGGGGGAAGGGAAAAGATGGCAGTACATGTTCTTAAAATGGATAACTTTTTGACTCCTCATTTTAGTCACTGAAAAGAATCACCTAAACTCAGTGTTGGAAAGACACAATCTCAGGCACTAATCTTGGAATTTTGTTAAATTCAGGATTTCAACCAACTAACCAACCAACTGACCTGTAAATATAAGCCAACCGCATTGGTTGTCACTAGCCACCATCAATATTAGAGTCTGGAACCCACTGATGGAAGTTCCTATATCTGAGATGGCTTGAGACTCCTGTCAGGTCCAGTGTGGCAACAGAGCTCTTATTAGTAGTAGAGAACAGCGGTACCGCAGGCAAGGGTGACATTGGGTGGCCAAGTTGCTGGAAATGGAAGGCTTTAAAACATTTACTTGAAGATTGCTTCTGGCCCTTCATTTGCCCAGCCAAAGGCATTTTGAAACTTTTTGTGGATGGGAAGGGCATTAGGAGGGATGAATGGCATGGATAGGGGTGGCAACAAGGGGATGAAAGAGATGAGGGGGCTCTGAGGACAGGAAATAGGGGCCCTGCCCTGGGCTCTAGAATACCTCTTAGAAAGTGGGACTCACATTTCCCTGCAAGTTGAAGCATGGAAGACAGATGAGGTGTCCATGAGGAGAAAAAACCCACTGAGCTTCAGGTTGACTTTTCTTTGTACTCATACAGAAGGGCCAGAAAGCTGGGCAGTCCTTAATACAATAATGTCTTTTGAGCTCCTACTCTAGTTCTTAATTTAAATCTGTTGCTCTGAAGTTCAGGCAAGACGGGTAACTTGATGATGAGTAACTTAGGGGTAATTGGCCAGAGTTGGGAAGCCTGCCATAACTAAGAAAATTGAGATCTCATTAGGGTGTGGTATGTTTCAATACCTAGGCCTGTCATGCCAAATATCTCTCGGGTGGTCAGTTTGAAGAATGTCTTCAGTTAAAAATATTTAAATTGCTGTCAAAAGCTAAAAGCCACATTAATAAAGTGCTGGCTAAAAGCCTGAAGAAATTAGTCAACTGCCTTTAATTGACCCTGTTATGTTCTGGTATCAAAGATAATCTACCTTATATGCCAAGTTGCATCCTTGGTACCTGGATGGTAATTGCCTGGGGTTCTATTTTAAATCCACTATTTCTAGGAAAATTCCAATTTTGACTAATTTCCATCTCAATATCAAAGTTTTGGTAAAGGATAAAGGTCAAACAGTGAAATGAGTTGTTGTCCCAGTGTTTATTATAGGCCAACATTTGGACCTTAAAAAAAAGGAAAAACTCATTTTATCAACTCTAATTTAACAACCATATGTCCACTGGTTAAAACCTCCTGTTAAAAGATGATTTGAGACAATGGGGGTTAGGACTTTTAAGGTTAGGATACCCCCTTGAGGAGTCTATTAGTTCTAAAAAAATTCTGTAAATCTGTGATTCTCTCACCCCTGAGTAACTAGAAATTAACAGTAAGATAATCATTTCCCTGAAAGCTGATTTGTAGTATCCAAATGAGGTTTCTGAGGAGAATTAGGTAGGATCTTTGGACCCGTAAGAAGTTAACAAGATCTCTCTTTCTGTTTTGTTTCTTACTAGCTATGTGTGACCTCAGAGAGGCCATTTCACCTCTGAACCTCAGTTTCTTCATCTATAAAATGAAAAGGTTAGGGCTAGACAACCTTCTGGGTCTCTTCTATTTTGTGTGTGTGTGTGGGGGGGCAATTGGAGTTAAGTGACTTGCCCAGGGTCACACAGCTAGTAAGTGTTAAGTGTCTGAGGCTAGATTTGAACTCAGGTCCTCCTGACTCCAAAGCGAGCCAGAGCTGTATCCACTGCACCCCCTAGCTGCCCCTCTTCTGTTTCTAAAAGCCTATTCTAACAAAAGCCACTTTTTATTAAGGTTAAAAATCTGTCAACCATTAAAGATCAAATTTGTAAATTTTGTCTGTTGTTTTTATTTTCAACCTAATGGTTTATTTAACTGCCTGAGAACTTAAGCAGACGGAATGGTCAAACCTCTCTCTCCCACTGAAAATCTTAAAACAAACAAAAACCAAACAGATCAAAAAACCTCTCAACAATGAGTCCCGGGAACAAAGCAGGAAAAGCATAAGTATAATTTAATCACTTCTCCAGGCCTAAAAACCTGATATGATGTGCTAAGAGCCCTTAATGTGGGCAACAATCATTAGGCTGAATGTAATGTCTACATAAGCAAAGTATGCTAATTTCTAGTTGGTTGATAAATGTGTACCTTTCTTTCACATATACATGTGCATACATAAGTTTTTACCAGTTTTTACATTTTAAAATGAGGATGTTCAGCCTCTGGGAGTTTATAAAATGCTGATACTCAAAAATTATTGCTTTGAAAGTAAAGAATCATCTCAAATGGGAAAAGAGATACAGATATAGCTTAGGAAGTAATGTATATCTACATCATATTTTTATACCTTTTTCATACCTAGCTGGATAGTATAGTGGAAAAGGCCCAGAACCTGGAGGTAAAAGACCTAGATTTGAGTCCCTGTTCCATCATTTATTAGCTCTGTGGCCCTGGGCAAGTCACTTAATCTGTGTATTTTAGTGTGTCTCTATATAGCTATCTGTATATAGTGGGAATAATGATATTTGCACTCCCTCCCTCAACTCACAGAGTTGTTTCAGAGAAAGATGCCTCATAAGCCATCAAGATTTATAGAATCATTATCGTCTTACAACAGTGTCTTCTCCAAGATAAAAAAGTGTTTGTTAGGATATATAGTTTTTTCAGATGTTATTTCCACAGTTCAGATGTGTATTCAGATGCTCCTCACTTTTCTGTGAATTCCTCTCCAACACTCTTTTTGTTGTTCAATCATTTTTCAGGCATGTCTGACATTCCATGACCCCATTTGGGGTCTTCTTGGCAAAGATACTGGAGTGGTTTGCCATTTTGTTTTCCAGCTCATTTTACAGATGAGAAAACTGAGGCACACAGGGTTAAGTGATTTACGCGAGGTCACACAGCTAGTAAGTGTCTGATGCCAGATTTGAACTCAGGAAGGGAAAGAAGTTTTCTCTCCTTGTGAGTGTTGTAAAAACATAACTCAAAGAAAACTGAGGATGAGGAATGGAAGCAGTTCTATTCTCCAGGAACTAACAGGCCAGGAAAACACTGCACAGCAGAATTGGAAGGGATTGCAGGGGTCATAATAATAATGATGATAATAATGACAACTGACAATTATACAGTGTTTTAAGATTTGTAAAGCATTTTACATACATTATCTCATTTAAGCTTCATAATACCTCATGAGATAAGTATTATAAATATTATTAAACCCATTTTATAGGTAAGGAAACTAGGCCCCAGAGAGGCCAAGCAACTTGCCCACAGTAACACAGCTAGTAAATATCAGAGACGGGGTTTGGATCCAGGCCTTTCTGACTCTAAGTCTATCCACTACACCACAATTCCTCGACTCTAATCCAATCTGTATGAGAACAAGAATCCCTCTTTAACTGCTCTGATAAGTGGTCATTTAGTTTTGAGTTGAAGACAAAGTTCACTCTATTTGGGGACAGCTATGATTTTAAGTTTTTCCTTACTTTGAGTCAGAAAAGGACTCTCTTCATTGCTGCTAATTTTACATTCTTGAGCCCAGCATTTTTAGGGTTTCTTTTCTAAAGTGAATGCTCCGATGTCTTAACTTAACAATTAACTTAGTTTAAACAATTACCATCTACTAGATGGTAGTAGAAAGAGCAGCATACTTAGAGTCCTTGAGGTGGGTTCCAGTCTTAATTCTGCCCATCTGCACTGTCCACGTGGACTTGCAACACTTCTCTGAGCCTCAGTTTCCTCAGTTGTAGAATAAGGCAGTTGGATTAGATGATTTCTAATATCCTTTCTAACTCTATTCTAGGCTTCTGGGATTGTGTGCTCCATTCAAACTAAGCGCTGCCATTACTAGAATGGGTTAGGAAATGAGTTAGGAAAAAAACAGGATTGCATTCATTTTATTTTAGACTGTGTCCAGAGGACCCCTTCACTAAAGTGTTACTCTAACTGCCTCACTGAGGTGATCTTGGGTTCTCAAAGTCTGTGTCAGTGGGACAATATAATTCCAGCATGTTCTACCAAGGCAGAAAGAGAACAGGTCCTGTTCAGATCTGGATATAAGTTGCTGGAGGATGGGCGTAGCCAAATTTGGAAAGGTTCATCTGATTATGTTGTGTGCAAGATGATGAGGTTTTTTTAAGTCAAGGCAATTCTTGAAGACCATCTACTAAATTACTCAGATTACCAATCAAAAGAGTACTCACACTAACAAAATCACAGACTCTTGATATATGTACAAAGGCCTAGATTTTACTTTTTATCTATGTGTCTGGCTGGCCCAATGACAAAGACAATAAAAACAAACCAAAGAAAATAAACAGATCAATCTCTGAAGGCCTGACTCAAATCCCCCTTCCTCTGTGAAGCGTTCCTGATCACTCTGACCTACAGAACTCTCTTTCTTTGGACTCCAATAGCACTTATTTGTCTGTACCATCCCTTTCACAATTAATCATGCCTAGCCTGGGAACACCTCTTCTAAAATTGCTTTTTAACTTTCTTTCAAGCTTATGTCTTATCTGCCCAACTAGATGGTAGGTTCAATTATAGGGAGCTGTATCTCATAGATCCATCTCCTCCAAAGTGCCTTTCACAACAAGGCTGAATATTCAAGAAATCTTTTTTTTTTCCAATTGGATGAAGACAAAGGACTAAAATGGGAAGGAGAGAGAAGTAAATTGCAAAGGAAAAGTTATATGGGAACTAGTGAGTGGGAATATACCTGTTATTTATCAACTTCTGAGATCAAAGGATTTTATTTAATTCTGCAATTTCTATAACTCTGGTGCCATTTTAAAAGAGAGTAAAATTCCTTCCTAACCCCCAGCACCAACTCATAGCTAGGGTTGTAACAGTTCTTCCTCCTGCTCTCACTCAATAGTACAAAAAGTTACCAAATAAAGAACTTGCACTATGGAGATTTAGAAAGACTGGGGTTTTCCATTCTATTGTAAATAGTGGCAAAGCATTTCATACATATTGTTAAAAACAATAACAAAAACTACAGTCAGGCAGAAGAGACACCAGGTCAAAAGTAACTGTTAGTTTGGTTTTGTCTTAAGGGGCGTGGGGAGATTAGAGAACTCTACCACATTTAGACAGCAAGGAAGCAGCCTGTGTCCATGGAGGCTGATGTTGGCTCCAGGTCACTCAGCCAGCAGGGCTGTCTATAGGAAGGCTGCAGTATCCTTTTTTACAGGATTGATGACCACAAGGCAAGAGAGTAAGGATAAAGTGGGGAAAGGGAGTGGATTCTTCCATTCTAGCCAAAGGACAGCTCTATGGAGTCACAAAGAAATCATGGGATTAGGAAATTCCTGACCTTTCCCTCTTCCACTATTGAGACAGAGAGAGGGAAAGAGAGAGAGAGGAGGAGGGAGAGAGAGAGAGAGAGAGAGAGAGAGAGAGAGAGAGAGAGAGAGAGAGAGAGAAAGAGGAGAGAGAGAGAGAGAGAAAAGGAGAGTATGTGTGTGTGTGTGTGTGTGTGTGTGTGTGTGTGTGTGAGAGAGAGAGAGAGAGAGAGAGAGAGAGAGAGAGAGAGAGAGGGATAGGTAGAAGAATTGGATCAAATGAGTATGTAGGTTGTTTCAATACACTTGGGGTTCCCTGGTTCTACCCCCCAAAATTTCTCTCACATGGCCTGGGAAGCTTACACTGGTTTATATTTTAGGGGTCTTCAAGGACAATTAGAAAAAAATACTAGCCACTTAAGGATTCCTAAATGTGCCTGCTCTTAGACTGCTGCTGAGTATTCTCACTATCCCTAAAACCTCTATTCACCCACCAAGCCTAGTTTAGAGGTTCCAATGAGCTGAATGGAGTAGGAGCTAATCTTTTCAATACTCAAGAGGGATAAAACCCTCAAAGGTAAAGAAAATCATGCAAATCCATTTAATTATTTATTTATTTTTATTTTGGCTAGGCAATGGGGTTAAGTGACTTGCCCAGGGTCACACAGTTAAGTAAGTATTGTGTCTCAGGTCAGATTTGAACTCAGGTCCTCCTGAATCCACAGCCAGTGCTCAATCCACTGCGCCATCTAGCTGCCCCGAATCATGCTAATTTAAACCCAATTTACCTCCAATTGTCGTATGTCCCTTCGACATTTCATGTATAGAGTTTTAGCACTATCTTTTTTGTGTCCTCACAGGTACTGTTTTTAACCTCTTCTTCCTCCCTCCCCCAAGACTTTCAGCCCTATGAATTCAGGGATCATGCTTTCCTAGTTTTCCAATATCTGTGTCAGCTTCCCTATTTCCACACCCAAACTTGCCTAAAACGGTGTTTTGTATGTAGCAGGAATTCAATAAGTATTGATGACTAGATGTAAAATGGCTACCCCAAAGTCAAATATAATGGAAGCCATGGGTAGAAAGCAAATAATTTACGTTTTATAAGTCAATATCTATTTAGTCCTAAGAACCAAGGACACCTAAAAAGGAAAGAGACCTCATCTCGATTCCAGGATTTCAAAATGCATGTGCAACATAAATGTTCTTTGTTGACTGACTTGCTTTGAGCTAGTTCCTTAAAAAGTATCACCTCCCAGAACTAAATCACCAGTAAAACTTGTGCTTATCCTGGAAAAGCAGATACTGCATGTGGCTATCAAGACAGTAAAAGGAAGAAAGGGATTCATTGCCCATCCCAAGCTTATTTTAAAAATCATTAAAGACAGCATAAATAGCAGCAGAAAAGCACTTCAGGTGTTTTCCTAAGGCTGGAAGTCTAGTTGAAGAAGATTATAACAAAAGTAGAAATTTGGCTCTCAAAAGTAACCTTGTACTGTCTGATTCACAAAGGTTCAGTAGGCTAGGGAAGGTAAACAGAAGATGATTATTACAAAGGCAGGGATGGGGGGGTTGGGGTGGGGTGGACAGTAGGGGGTTTTGCTTTTGCTGGTGATATCTCACCATTCCTTGTGTAATTAGCCACTTGTCTATTGGCTCCATGTCAGAGTTCCCACCTTTACCTCTCCTCTGGGCGGAGAAAAGAAATGTCCCAGAAAGAAAGAAATCACAGCAATACTTGTGACAAAAAAGTTAATAGCGTATCAACAGTGAAAGAAAAGCTACTGATCATATTCACTTGTTTATTCAATTTAAAAAAACCATGAAAACCCACAACGTTTCCCTTAGCCCCTCTGTAAAAGAGAAAAAGGGTTTAGTGACCAAAAAGAAACTCTCAATATTAAGGCATCATCAAAGCCAGTCCTTGGCTTCTTCCAATCAAGCAATATAGACATTAAGAAATTAAAAATACTATCATTTGATAAGATGATAAGAGTCATTAGGACTTCTGAAAACAGTGGGGTGATGCAAGCCACTAACCTAAGCAGGAGAAAGTTCATTAAATCCACCAAATCTACTACAATTGGAACACTTTGACCAGTCACCTTACATAGGCTCAAAGTCTTCTGAACTGATAAACACTGGGAACAGAGGATCATTTATACCAGTGTGAATGACAGAAAACACTTGTTCCTAGCACTGCTGATATTAGCAAGGATATTAACTCAACGTGGGCCAGGGTGACTACCATAAGAAAAGAAAGCATTTCTTCCTGGATGGTAACATTGTGATTCAAAAGCTAGGTGGGTTCTTCTCCTCTGAGTATTAGTTTTCCCACACTAGCTCAATTAAAAAATAGCTGGACATTCCTGGGTTTCTATATTTCATTTATCAAAAAGAAAAAAAAAGGGATTGTGATATTGATAATGCTTGGGGTCAGCCAACCTGTACAGGGCTATTGCAGTTCACTAACCTTATAGGGAAAGCTAAGCCCAGAGTTATTAGGAAACAGACCGAGGTCCTACAGGCAGATGTTGGACTAGCTCTGCAATGCTCCCTAGTGGCTGACATTGAGAGGAACATTGCTCTGATTCACCAAACATCCTACTGGTGAGTTCTACGCTATTGTTATTGGTTTTATTTTTCTGCAGGAGGCAAAACTGAATGGAAAGTTACTATGTGGTATGCCTGGGAATTCACTTAGATGAAATTCAAGGTTAAGAAATGGTGATCTGTTATAATAAGTAAGGAGGCTAGTGCCCTTTTTGACCCTTCCTTTAAAGTGAATGGACCTAGACTACACTAGGCTGGTTGAATATAGACTGGCTCTGTGGGAAGGTTTCCTACCAAGATGTACCCCCACTCCCAACCTCACCCCAACACCCACATACATCCTGAAGCCCCTCAGCTCTAACAGGAGTAGATGGGGAATGGTAAACAGGCAGAAAAGCCTAGAGAAAAGCCCTGACTAACCTTTCTCTTCTGGTTATCTGAAATAGTCTAAAAACTTCCAGTTCTAGCTTGTGATACAAAGAATTACAAAATATCACTCACCTCTTTTCATTTTTCTCAACGTTATCTGATCCCTTGTAGGAAGTCACATGGTGAGGGGACGGGAGTGGGTGGCAGTGATACTTACAAACAAGGACTTTCCCAAATTCTATTAGAAATTTAATTTCCTGGGAATTACTCCCTTCAATTCTGTAAACAGTCATGACCATCTACTTACCGAACTCTTCTTCCTTTTATGTTCCAAGATCTTAAAAAACTTAAATGTCTCAAGATGGCTACCTCAAACAAGCTCACTACTTCTTCAGAGTCATGCTAACAGTGCCAACTACACAGTATATAAAGAAACCCTCCCTTCCTCGTGAGCATTTCTCTCCTCAAATAAATATAGGATTTCTAACTAACCTCTATCATTGGATTTTTCTCTCCCTGAAGGGCAAAGTATCAGAACAGTACAAGCTGGAGGCCAAATGCTAAGGGAGAAGCACAGCTGTGCCCCATTAATAGGGCTACGGCTCTTTCCTGCAGTCCAGTGAAGGCCCTATAACTAGGACCCTGTTCAATGCCAAGATAGGCTCTCCCTTTATCTAGCTGGATTTACTCAATAATTCTTTTCTTCTGGGGAACTTTGTTTTCAAAGGTCTCCTTTCCACACAGGGGAAACAGGTTTAAAAACCTACCACTTCAGTGTTCTGTTTTCGAACATCTAATGCAGAGGCCAGTCCTCCCACTGCTTGTGGATCCTCATAAGTGACTCTGGAAACAAAGCAGAACAAGTAGTTTTAGTTCAAGCTACTGATGATGGAGGGATCTGTGGTCAGTTTCTACTCTGAACAATTTGGAATGAAGCCCCTTTCCTGAATATGTAAGAAAGTCTACCCACTGGCTCTGTTTGGGAAGAAGCTAAGGGATCATGCTGCCTCACTGATGTTTGACAGGAATTAGGAGAGTTAGGTTCTAACCGTGGCTTGAGTCTTAATTTCCTGATACTTTTTTTTTTCCTCATCTGAAGATATCATACCCTGATCTCACTAGGATGCTTCAGAGGCTCGATAACAGAACGTCTAAATTCAGTGCTATGAAATATAGCTCAGACTCGGTTTATGTGGAAAGTCAAAGTCATGCTAATTATTATTAAAGATAAAGAAACCACAACTGCAGGTATAAGAAAAAAAGGCTTATGAATAATGGGGCTCTGGAACCATTACACCTATGAATATGAAGGACAGTCTCTTCTCCCCTCCCTCCTACCCCAGTTTTTCTTTTCTCATTTACATAAACACTTTGTTCCAGTGAAGCTGCCAAAAGGAGGGAGATGGATTACTGTTTTGTCTTTAGAACTCTGGAATATGTCCATAGCCAACATTTATATAGTGCTTTAAAGATTCCAAAGTGCTTTACATGCATTATCTTATTCGGTCTTCATAATAACTCTGTGAGGTAGATGAGGAAACAGGCTGAGAAAGGTCACGTGACTTGCCCAGTGTCACACAGGTGTTATCTAAGGTAAGATTTGAACTCCGGTCTGAGCACTCTATCCAGTGTGCCATCTACTTGCTCAAGTTTGTTTACGATCAAAAGGGACAAAGAAGGTGGCTGAAAATAGGACTCAGGGCTCCTTAACAAGCAAAGGGCAGCAGTGTCCCTGAGGGGAAAACAGAGATGGCATGAGGAATTGTTTCTACTTGCAATAAATCTTGACAAAAAGCCAAAAAGCCAAAGCAAAATAAAAAGCCAAAAAGCGTGAAAGAATCCACGAAAATGCTTTTCGTAGAAGCGACATCACAGCTTTTAAATCTCTAACCCCAATTATGCTGGTGTTTGGGAGGGGGAGTTTCTTCACCAAAGTCTATGTAACTGCATGTAAAACTTTTTTTTTTTGCGCAGTTCCAATTTATACGGTAACCCACTCTGCTTCGTACAATCTCCAAGGGCAGGGCATGGGGTGCATGCTTTATTTTGAACAGTGATTTAGTGGTGAAAAAAAAAGAAAAGTCCCTGTTTGTGACAGATAGGAAAAAACACACTGCTACCAAACAACTCCCCCACTGCAGGGAAAGGGAATTTCATTCAACATCCTCATCAGACGCCAGATCTTCAGTCCCACATTTTAAAGCTCTGGGTAGTAAGTGCTGGTCCTCATGAATAGAAGCTCCCTTGCGTTGGCTTTTACCCAAGGCTGAGTCAATTACTCTTGCTCCCAATTTCTTTAGAGTGCCACAAAAAAGCCCCCACTTACGTCTTACGCTGTTCAGCCAAGGAGTTTCCTCTTGTCTGGGCAAACATATCAAAGTCATCTTGGGGGTTACAATGCTGGAGAGAGCTGAGGGTTCCACTGACACTATCTGTCCCCAAATCTAAAGATGACAATAATGAAATGCTGGTCACAGACATACCACTTTTCTCCAAGACAGCAAAATGGGTTAAGGTGAACATTTTATACTACAGATTCAAGCACTTCCTGTTTCACTTCTAAAATGCTCAGTAAGCAGGGAACAAGCTGCAGGGATGGGGATATGGGGTCTGAATGAAGATAAATGTATTTTAACCCTCAATCCGTAAGTGAGTGGCAAAGAGTTAATTTACAGAAGCAAGAGGAGGGAAAGACCAGCAAGAAGGATCACAGGATTTAGAGCTGGAAGGGACTTAGTCCATACCCTTCATTTTACAGATCAGGACACTGAGGCCACAAAAACTATGTGACTTGTCTAATGTCAAACGTAAAAAAAAAAGGTCATGTGACAAAGGTGAAAAAGAAACTGAGGTAATAAAAGATCGTAGGCACTTCTTTTTATCTGCTATTAATTATTTAACAGTGGAAGTGTGCTCAGATTTGTTCTTGGTGGATTTTACAGAGCATGCATGGATATTCTTTGCCTACTTTCAATCCAACCGGGATTGAACCTGGGAGCCAATTGCCAGCCAGGATGACTCAGGGGTTGGTAGTAGGTGATGATGAAAAGTCTTTTTATTGGCTGCAGGAGTGGCTGAGTGGGAACTGAGTGTACGTACAATCTCTCAGTTTCTTTTTCTTGACAGCTTCATGTGATGAGGGCTATTTTCAGTTTTGGGGAAAAGAGGGGGAGGGAGAGAGAGAAAGGCAGCTGCCCTATTTCTCACCCAGCCACTGTGTATCCATGAACACATGAAGCCCCAATTTCTTTGGTGTTAGCCACTTTTTTTGCCTCTACAGCCAATTAAAAGAAGACTTTTTGTCATGACATAGTAGCAACCTATAAATTACAATGGCTGGAAACTGGCTCCTAAACTTCCCCGTGCTGGACTGCTGGAACCAGGCAGGAAATATCTACACATGCTTTATACTGCCTCCCAGGAAGGGCAAATCCAAGCATGCTCCCTTTGTTACAATCATAACTGAACTTACCATTATACATATACACACACACACACACACACACACACACACACATTATACATATAACAGTAGCAACCATTCTCACGGTTTTATGATAAATAAATCATAGGATTTAGTGGCTTATTTAAATTTTGGGTTAGCTGCAATATAATTAAACTTTTAAAGATGATTCTCTTAAAAAAAACAGAAGATTTGGAAAGTTGCTATGGAACTGGTGAGGAACAAACAGGTAGGTCACAAATACAGCAAAAAACAAACTCTACCATGAATTCAGGAAAATAATTATTCCCACACTCTTCTAACTGGAAAGAAAAGGTGGGGAGATATTTAGAACTCTGCCTAGCATAAATTCAGTGGAGAATATGGCCTCTAACGGGGTATGATGGGACTAAGGAAATTCACAGAGAGAAAGACATTAAACACAATACTTACCCAGGCCAGCTAGCTGTGAGGAAAGAGAAGATGGTGGTGCTGTGTTACCCACCATTGGACTCACTACAGCTGGAGAACCAGGACCAAGATCTATTAAATTATCTTCAGTTACTTCATTCAGGACCTGTCAGAACATGAGAGAGGCAGTGAGCTCCTTGTCCCACATTTCTTGCTGCATAGTAAAAAAACAAGCAAGGTCATTACAAACTAGAATAGGAGATGGTAACCTGCAGCACGCATGCCACTTTCCAATTTTCAACAGTCTTCTGATTTTTAATGGCTTCCAGGCTGGTAGCTGTTATTACTATCCCCTCATTGTCCCCCTGAGAATCAGCATATACTGCTTAGTGTAGTCAGCACACACCAGAAATTCTCTATTCCTAATCACACAAGAACAAAAAGGGTATACCACTACTGAAAGGTTGCCTACAGCAGGAACTAGGTAAGTGTAAAAAGAAGCTAGAGGTTTTCCATCAATGAGACTTTGTTGGCATAATGGGATCACACCCTCAAATTTTGGAACAGCTTGCCTTTGCCTTCTATGCTACTCCTCCCTATCTCACACCACCTTTCTTCTTCCAAATGATTTCTTTCTGCTTACAATTCATTAAATAAATCTCCAACTATGGTTCTCCCCAATAATACTGGCAACTTGGGCTTATGCTCTTCACTGACCCAAAACACCTTTAAGTGCAAATACCAGAGACCAGGGGGTGGGAGAAGGAGGACATCACCAAGATGGGATCTACCAAGGGAGGTAGAACCAGCCCTCTTCCACATATAGGATTCTGAAATGATACTTACTCCGTTACTGGTATTTTGAGCAGAACGACCTGACCTGTACCGTTCGAACCTGGTAGGGGTGAGGGGGAAAAAAAAGAATAGGGAGAGGGATCAAACTCAGCAAACTGCTAAGCTGTTCAGGTGCGAGGGGAATCTTAGTTGTCTGGGAGACAGGAGGGATCCTAGCATTACCTGCAGAGGGCAGGAGCCCCCGTCTCTTTAGGGAGCTCATTAGGGAACACAAGCACACATTTACACAGGCCTTCCCAGAGGTGGGGGAGGGAGGCAGCAAGGAGGCATCCAGAGAAAACAGATGCAGATTCTCTGACTTTCATCTCACACCATCAAGGCAGGGTATTTTTGGGTGTATATGTATCACAGGGTGGTGTGTAAAATTAGCTCATTATGAGCAATACCCACCATTCCACAGACACCATCAGACTACAGACACACCAGCCTTGGCAGCCTCCATCACCTCCCCCTGGGACCTGAGGGTACCTTGGCATCCTATCTACAAAACGAAGGTAATAATCTTGGGCTCCGTAGCTATTTCACAGGACTCTTGTCAAGAATAATTAGTTAATGCTTATGATATGTACTGCCCTGCCCCTTCCCCCCAAGTTCAATGAGAAAGGTATTGGATAAAGACAGGGGCCTTTAATTATTTGGCTGGTGGTAAGTGGGCCACTTTATCTACCTCTCTGAGGAAACAGGTGGGACCACAAAGATGAGACAGAGACCTCTGGGACCTCTATCTCCTGAAATGGTCCATGAAAGCCAGGGAGCAGCTACTGGGTTGTCCTGACAGGAAGCTGTCATTCCTGACCAGCTGCCTGGGATCGCCTGGGCTCTGGTTGGCTATAGAACCATACCTGTTCTGAGGCACAATCAAACCATTCTCATGCTAAGGTATTCATAAGATGTAGAGTGTGTGTGTGTGTGTGTGTGTATGTGTGTGTGTGTGTGTGTGTGTGTGTGTGTGTGTGTGTGTAAGAATCTATAGTTGAACAGAAAACAAAGAAGAAATTTAGTAGCTAAAAGCTCTGCACCAGACTTTTCTGTGCCTCTCCACCTACTTTTCCTTTCCCCTCACAGCTCTCTGGGGCTTGCTTCTGGGGAGAAAGAGGCCTCCTTGGGTTATTTTAGAGTTGGTCTGTTATTAGCCTGTTGTGACTTCCCTCCTACACTTATCAATGTCAGAAAACTCATGTTGTGCTTTCAATCTTGATTTTTACAGGAAAGAATAGAAATGTCAAGGTCTGGATAATTTCTTACACTGGATATCTGTTCTTATATACTCTTAGTGAGGAAAAAAAGAAATATTTAAAAAACAAAATCTAGGTGGGATAATTCTTTTAGTGCAATGTGGCCTCAATCTCTGATGGAGTCACAAAAATGAAATACGACAATGAGGTAGATTTTAAACTGACGCTCTGGTATTAATACTCTTGTGTCATATGCTACAGAAGGGGACCGAATAGGTTAGGATGCACAGGACAATAATAGAGAAAAGGAAACCACTTGGTGTCCTGTGCAGAGAGTTGCCATCTCAAGCATTTCCATCTAGATTGGGGATTCCTGATACCTAGAATTTGTTCCTGTGCTTCAAGTTGACAAACCTTTATGAAGTACTTACTAAGTACATGGTAGGTTCTACTACTGATGGCCTTCAAACACTAAGTATGGTGATTTCTTTATCTGTAAACTGGGAATGAAAAGCATACTCGAAGCTCCGCCATTCCCTACCAATACACTGGAATGCTGGGAACAGATTTATAAAAACAACAGCTACCAAAATTCACTCAGGCAGGTACTTAGGTAAATGTATGGAATTATCACAATCAATTAATATTTACTGAGCATCTACCAGGCTTGCAGTATATTATTATAATTGTTGTTACTGCTGATAATAATAGTAGTAGTAATAAGAATAGTACCACCAAGTTACTTGATTGATAATTAATGGGTTATAAAGTACTAAAACATGGTATGATGAGAAGAGCACTGTACTGGAGATATGGGTGCTGGTCCTGGATCACAGATTTGGAGCTGGAAGGGAGGTCAGCTAGTCCAATCCATTCATTTTAAAAATAAAGAAAGTGAGGCCAAGCGAAATTTAATGACTTGCCTTAGGTCACAAAGATGAGCAGCTAGGTGGCACAGTGACTAGAGTGCCAGGCCTGGAGTCAGGAAGACTCATCTTCCTGAGTTTAAATCTGGCCTCAGACGCTTACTAGCTGTGTGATCCTGAGCAAGTCACTGAACCCTGTTTGCCTCAGTTTCCTCATCTAGAAAATGAGCGGGAGAAGGAAATGGCAAACCATTCTAGTATCTTCGCCAAGAAGACCCCAAATGGTGTCACGAAGAGCTGGACGCAACTGAAAAATGATTCAACCACCACAGGTCACATAGGTAGTAAGTGACAGCAGTAAGATTTGAATCCAAGGCTTTCAGCAGCAAATTCAGTACTCATTCTACTGCATCACGATGGCTCTCATTCCGACTATTGCTTGTTGATTTCCACTGGATGGCTACAAGACCTTGAGCATATTATGTAACTTCTTAGTGTTTTAATTTCCTCGCCTGGAAAATGAATGGGTTGAACTAAAGCAGGGTTCTCAACCTTTTTTTGCGGCACAGTTCCCTCTGGCAGCCTGGGGAAGTCTATGGATCCCTTCTCAGAATCATGTTTTAATGTACCAATAAAGTGCAAAGGATTACAAAGGCAACCAAAGGTTAGTGAAAACAAAAGTGGAGTTTTCCTCCAAAATTTACAGATCCCCAAAATCCATCCACATTCACTGGACCCCAAAACTAGATGACAGCTAAGATTTCTTCTATTTCACAATTTTTAGGATTTTAAGAGGCAACAGACAAGTCAGAAAGGTTAAGACAACAGTACTTGACACTGTATTTTCTATCTAACCTATGTTTGCGAATTATAAGATTTTTGTTTTTTGTTTTCTTACTCTTTCCAAGTGAGACCTTTAAGTGAGAAAAGGGTCATTCCTAATTTGTTGCTAGTATTCAGCTATGTTAGGTAGACATAAGAAAGCAGAAAATGGTGTATGGACTTTCTTTTCTTCTTAAGAAAAAAAAATTGTTTTATCAATGTATTTTGTTTTTCACATAACTATTTCCTGATAACTTCCTACCCCTTCTTCCTTATAACAAAGAAAGAGTTAAGCAGAAGCAACCAACAAAATGACTGCATCTCATGGGCTTAGGTTCTCTTTTCTTTCCTTTTCTTTACCCTTCCCTTCCTTTCCCTTTCTTTTCCAAAGGCAGAATTTTATTACTCTCAATGGCTCAGTGTCCAGACATTCTAGACAATTTAAAAGTCAATCCTTTTTCTCAGCAGTGATTTTTTTTATCCTTCTCAAGCTTTTAAAAGGTTCAATACGTAAGAGGGGGACTTAGAAATTACAAAAGCCCTGTGTCCTACCCAACTCCCTAAACCTAGGGTGGGGTAGGGTGGGGTGGGGGAAGGGCACGGGGAGAAAAAAAGAGCCAGATGGAAAGGGAAAAAGAGGGAGAAAAATCAACAGAAACCTAATGGCATGTATAAAGGGCAAATACTAATTCTGCATATCAATTTCCTATGGCTCAATTCCCAGGAGAATAAGATGCATTTCACCTGTCATCTGGTGACAAATTAGCATCTCTAATGAGTATTTTCCATTTCTAATCTCTCTCCCCCTTTGTTTATGAGAAAATCCCTAAGATATTATGCCAACAATCTTTTCAGAGGGAAAAAAAAGTTCCCACCTCTCATATCTGAGGAAGACGTTATTTAAGTCATCATTCACATGCAGCAATTCCTCGGTGACCTCTTCATTAGAAACCCTGGAGATGAGTTCCACAATTCTCTGCTGCATAGCTCTACAGGTCCTGTTCAGTTCCTAAGGAATGGGTAATACCTAATAGTTACCATTACAGAATTTAGATAAAACATTTTTATAGCAACCTATCTACTTTACAGATAGATTTCTGACACTAAAAAAGAAATTCATCAGCCTGCCAAAAGTATTATTAATGTGCTTTTCACTTATCAATGCTTTTAGATACAAGGCATTCCTGAAGATGTTTTAAAAGTGTATCCACTATAAGCAAAAAACTTCATTGCACATACACTATATCCTGGATTTATACTGTTGGTCTTCAATTTTTGTGTATGTCACAAAAATGAAAACTGATGATTGATTAGGTTGAGATTATGAGAAATGAAAGTCTTTGTTAAAGGACCAATATACACATAGGCAGCTAGGTGGTGCAGTGGATAGAGTGCCAGGCCTGGAGTCAGGAACACTCATCTTCCTGAGTTCAAATCTGGACTCACAGACACTTATCAGCTGTGTGACCCTGGGCAAATCACTTAACCTTGTTTGCCTCAGTTTCCTCATCTGTAAAATAAGCTAGAGAAGGAAATGGCAAACCACTCCAGAATCTGTGCCAAAGAAAACCACAAAGAGTTGGACATGATGGAAGTGACTGAACAACAATAATACAAACAGTGAATTGTAACATGGCAAGAAGTAGAGACTGTCTGTGACAGAGACAGTCCCCGTGACTCCCAATGTACTTTATTTCCCCCTTCTCACACACACACTCAACCATAGTGGATATGGTGGAATGTTCTAAGAAGCAATAAGACAATCATACCAGCTTCTAGTCAGATGTCAGGTACAGGCCATCTACTTCCTACTTGCTACTGACCTTAACATCACCCCAAAACATTCCTCTTTCTAATCATAACCTTTTACTATTATAGCCTTCCCTATGCCTCATGATTCCTACCCCCATTCTTCCTTTTCACCGTGACCCCCATTGTCTCTACCCCTCAATTCCTTCTCAGGCTATCATCTATACTGGCTATACTCGCCTTCCTTCTCTTTCCTAACCCCTTGAAAAAACCAAATTAACTATATTATACTCTACTCTTGCATCCCTTACTCCTTACTAAAGTTAACAATAATCTCTTAAAAAATTATCAATATCTTTGGTTTTTATATTATCCAAGTTTGCCCCCATAACCTTCTTCCAACCCCCTCACCATCAGGAAGTCCTACCCTTATAGTCATTTTTTTAAAAGAAAAAAAAAGAAAAAATGGCAAAACTGATGAATTCATTTTAAAAATCTGACAATTTATGTAATGTTTCATGTTTCATCCCCATAGATACTACTCTCCCTTTCCCTCTTAACTTTGGCCTCTGCAAAGGTATTTTCTTTGGGACCAAGCATGTTCTTTGTAATTTTGCAACATTAATTTTCAATTATTCTATTGTTATTGTTCTTTCCACTTACATTGTTGTAATATATGTATGTGTGCATATATATTTATATATGTACACACACATATACACATATATACATACACATATAGTTTTCCTGGCTCTGCTCAGTTCATTTTGCTTACTTAATTTCAGTTCATCATAAGTCTTTCCACGTTTCTCACAATATTCATAATATTGCCATTTCTTATAGTACAGGAATATTCTATTACATTCATGTATTACAGTTTTTTTTTAGCCATTATTCAATCAATGGCCATCTACTTTGTTTATTATTCTTTGCTATCACAAAAAGTGCTGCTATAAACATTTGGTGTATATGGCGCCTTTCTTTTTACCAATGACCTCCTCGGAATATAACAATAATATCTTAATTACCAAATTCAATAGCTTTTTCTTTCTTAAAAAATTTTTTTTATTCCAAAATTAACAAAAACCAAACAAAAAGAGCAGTTATTTCTATATACATAGAACAGAAAAAGAAGATTGTATATGAAACAACAGATCTCTGTTATGTATAGCTTGCTTTTCAAGCACATAATAAATTAAATTTGTAGCTTTCAAAGCCTATCCCATTTATCTGTGTTTCTTTCTGGCCTTCTTCATATTCTCTTCTCTATATTTTCAAAAAAGATGTTAATCTAATGACTCCCTTTCCTTTTCTTTCTTCCTTTTTTTTTTTCCTTTTTGGCTATTCTATCCCTTCTCATATTCTGCCCCTGAGGGACAGAAAAAATAAAAACAAAACCTTTATAACAAATAAGCATAGTAAAACAAAACAAATTCCTACACAGCCAATGTGTTAAAAAATTGTACAACTTATTCTTTATTTTCAGTATATTATCTGTCAAGAGGTGGGTAGGTAGCATGCTTCATCATCAGTCCTCTGGAATTATAATTTTCCATTGCATAGATTATAGTTCTTACTTACCTTAACCACTATCTGCCTCAGTTTCCTCAGCTGCAAAATGGGAATCATAATAGCACCTACCTGCCAGGGTTGTTGTGAGGATCAAATGAGATAATAACTGTAAAGTACTTAGCACAGTGTCTGGCCCATAGTAAGCACTATGTAAATGTTAGCGATTATTTATTAGTAGTATTATTTCTTAGAGCACAATCTTATTTGATCACATTTATTGCTGTAACTTGTTCAACTTTTTCTCAATTGATGGGCACACCCTCAGATTCCCATTCTTTGTTACCTCAAAAGGAATTATATCTTTGTACATTCTTAAAAGTTCATTTTGAGGGGGCAGCTAGGTGGTGCAGTGGATGGAGCACTGGCCCTGAAGTCAGGAGGACCTGAGTTCAAATCCGGCCTCAGACCAAACACCTGACAACATGTACTAGCTGTGTGACCTTGGGCAAGTCACTTAACCCTGATTGCCTTGCTTAAAAATTAAAAAAAAGTTCATTTTGCTTAGAAACAATCCCTCCTTGAGTATATGGCTGCCTTCTAATTCTCTCTTCTCCCCCTTTACCTACTTCCTTGAGTGAAACATGTTTCTGTACCCAACTGTGTGTCTATATTCTTCCCTCCTTTGAACAGTTGAGATGAGAGTGAAGTAAAAGTACCTGTCATTCCTCCTCGTCCTCTCTTCCTTGTTTGCGTGGTCTACTGGTATACCCTAATAATGTGAGGTAATTTTTTCTTAACTTTCCTTTTCTTTCCCCCCTAATATATTTCTCTTCCCTTCTCTTTCCATATTCTTTTCTTCACATCATCAATACATAAAAGAACCAGTTCCAGGCCTTCAATGATCCCTGATAATGACAGGGTTCAGAAAGGACACATCATCTTTCCCATATTAGACTGTAAGCAATTCAGTTGTGCTTACCATTTTATGTTTCTTTCTTTCTTTTTTCTTTTTTTTTGGCTAGGCAATGGGGTTAAGTGACTTGCCCAGGGTCACACAGCTAGTAAGTGTCAAGCGCTGGAGGCTGGATTTGAACTCGGGTCCTCCTGACTCCAGGGCCGGTGCTCTTTCCACTGGGCCATCTAGCTGCCCCTTATGTTTCTTTTAATCTCTGTGTTTGAACTTCAAAGTTTCTACATGCCTATATTGTTTTTATCAGGAATGCTTCTAAGCTCTCTATTTCATCCCCCAGCAGTATCATACTTAGTTTGGCTGAGTAAGTTATCCTTGACTGGAAGCTGATATTCTTTGCCTTCTGGAATATCCTATTATAAGCCCCGTGTTCCTTCATAATGGAAACTGCTAACTTGTGTGTAATTCTGACTGCAGCTCCTTGGGCCTTGGACTCTCTTTTTGGCTGCTAGCACTATTTTTTTTTCTTTGACCTGGACGTTCTGGATTTTGGCTATGATGTTCCTGGGAGTTTCCACTTTGTGGTTTCCTTCAGGAGGTGACAATGGATTCTTTCTTTGTCTACTTTGCCTTCTGGTTCTAAGAAAATCTTGGCAGTTTTCTTTTAAGATATCCTGAAATACGATGTCTAGACTTTTTTTGGTCATGCCATTTAGATAGTCTGGTGATGCTTAACATTTTTTTCTTCTATTTGTTTTCAAGGTCAGTTGTTTTTGCTATGAGATATTCTACATTTTCTTCTCTGCTTTCAGTCTTTTGATTTGTTTTTAATACTTCTTATTGTCTCATGGAGTCACTGGCTTCTATTTGGTTCAATCTAATTTTCTGGGAGTTTGTTGCTTGGGCAAAGTTTTGTACATCTTGAGCCATGTTGTTAACCCCTTTCTGACTCTTTCTTCCAAAGCTCCTCTTTCTTTTCCATAACCTCTGCTTTATTCTCTTCTATGAATTTTAGTTGCATTTGTGCCCAAGTTGTGTTTTTCTTGGAAGCTTTGCTTATAACTGTTTTGGAGTCATTCTTTTCTTCCGGTTTGTGCCTTGAGCGTCCCTTGACGTCACAATAGCTTTTTACGGAGGAGTTCTTTTTTTGTTTTATTATTCTGCCAGCCTAGTTTCTGATTTAGAACTTGAGGTTAGAACTGGGCTCTGTGTACTTATGGAGGAAAGGTCTGGTCTGGTCCTGCTGCTGCTGCCGGTATATTTGAGTGTTGTTATTCTACGTTCTCGGTGACAGCTTAAACTGGGGAGCTGCATGCTTTTAGTCCTCGTAAAGCAGTATGATCCAGAGCAACATCTGATTGCTGTCCCTGTGGTCTGGGCTCTGCAAGTTACTGACCTTGCTTTTGGTCTGAGCACTACTACTCTGCTGATTGATTCAGCCACTATCAGCTAGTTGGGAAGCTCTAACAATCCAGAGACACAAAACTGTGGGCTTCTCTTTGGTCCAGGATTTCTGCTCTGGCTATTCATCTGTAGGCTTCAGATTGTGTTACAAGGTGGAACTGAGACTCTGCTCTACTCCTACGATCTGAGCCATACAACAACTGCTTGCTTCAGAACTTGCTCCTTTTTTGGTACATTGTCCAGGAATTCCCTACCTGGGAATGCCACCCCCCCCCATGCAAGCTCCTTCCTTAATCTCTAACCTAGAACTGGGTAGTTAGTGCTTCCTATTGCAATACCCCAAATATAGTTCTGGGGGTACCCAGAATAGGTTTGGGACCTTCTCTTGCTCTGGTATACAGCCTCTCCCTGGGTGCTGGGAACTGGACTTGGCC